TCCCATGTGTTTGTTTGCTGTCTGAATTTATTCTTTGGTGAAGTGTCTATTTACATCCTGTACCCCTTTTGTGATTGTATTGTTTACCTTTTTCTTGTTGAGGTGCTGGAATATTTTATACATTTTCGATATAAGACCATTATGTCATTGCCAAATTTTTTTTTTCAGTCTATGGTTTCCTTCTTACCCGATTGGAGAAGTCTTTTGATGTACATGGGGATTTGATTCTTAGAAGATTCCGTTTATCTATTTTCTTGTCATCTGGTTGTAGGTACGATGAACTTTCAGAAAAGAATTTGACTCTTTTTCATCAACTGCCTCATGTCAAGATTGTAATACACCAAATATTTGAGAAATGATTAAAGACTCAGGTGAGAAGAAATATTTATTTTAATGATGTCATCATTCTGTTTTTTTATTTCTTGTTTTGCTTTACTGCTTGCCTTTGTAGATTACAGATTTTATACAGTTAGGATGTTCTTGTTAATAAGTACCATCAAGTTGAGCATGACTCATAGCAACCCTATGAACAAAAGATCTGAACCTTGTTCTATACCTATTGATACTATTTTTTTATTTCTATATACTCAAGATTAGCCCAACAGTTCATAATAGATGCTGAATAAATATTTGTTCAATTAATGAATGATTAAAAGAATAAATGAAATTAGAAAGCCCTAGAATTTTAAATTTCTGATATAAAGTTTAAAATTTGGATTGAAAAACATAAAAAAATTTCTTTTTTCACTTATTAATACATTAAGTGCTTTACTGATTTGTTAAATTTATTATTAACTAAAATAAATTAATAAAAAAAGACTAATGTGCACCTAAAAAAAGATTGCGATACATGTTATTTAATCTTGTTTATGGTCTAATTATTTGTCAAACTATTTGGAAAGCTCTTAAAACAGCTAAAAGATAAGGTGTATTGCATGTCTCTTAGAAAGGAAAATAAAAGATAATTCCATTAGCATTCAGATAATTATCCAAAGAGAAATACCGTTTGTGCCTTAGAGATCAGTGATTATTGTTAAAGAAGCTGGGAACATGATCCCAATGAGCAGGACAGGGTATCGGAGTGTGCTTTTTGACTTGGTTTTTCGCTTGCTGGTCTCTCAGTATTCGTCAAGAAAATAACCACGAATTGTTCTTGTTGTTGTGTACCACTGAGTTGGATCTGACCCGACCTGTAGTTGACCCTCTGGTGGGTTTTCAAAGACAGTTAATCACGTGGGAGGAGATTGCCCAGCCTTTCGTGGAGCAGCAGGTGGATGCCAACCCTGCGCCTTTGAAATTGGAGTGCAGCTTCTTGCCACTAGGCCACCAGATCATAGTCCTTACCCCTCCCAATATCAAAGTTTAATGGGCTGGGCTTCAGTGAGAGATAAACTTTCATAAAGTTTCTGAAACTGTCATAAAGAGGTACTCAAAAGTCCAACGTCTCCTGAAGGTTTTTTTCATATAGATTTATCTGGATCTAGCAGCTGGGCTGGGTTTGAGGCTCAAGCACTGTTGAGAGGCAGTTTCTTTGTACTTTTAAGCCCCTCCTTCTCCAGTAATTTCTTGGGTTAAACTGTGAATGTGAGTGATTGAAAGAGTGAGTGTGTGTGAGTGAGTATTTGTGTTTTGGAGAAGGTAATTTTCTTATACTTCTATTCCCTCCTCTTTGTCTAGAAGTTTCCTGGATTAAATGCTCCTGGATGGTGCGGCAGAAGTCTCACTTTCTGTTGTTTGCCTCAGAGCACCCAAGTTATAATTGTTGTTTTTGTATTGTAGAATTGGAACTGACCTATAGTTGACCCCTCAGCAGGTTTTCAGGGGCAGTTAATCGTTCTGGAGGGGATAACCCATCCTTCTTCTTATAATTAGTCACTATTTATTTGACAAAGTATTGGTTTTCCAGCAAACATTATATTTTTCCAGAAGTTTTGAGGGAATTGAAGCTGATCCACAAATGCTTTCCCCTCCTAGGACCAGGGCTATCTCCTTTGTATGTCAGCCAAGAAAATGAAATACAGTAAAAATAATTTGGGTAGGCATTTAGTAGATATTCAATAAAATTTCATTTCCTCCTCCAACCTCTGTGTATTTATAAAATTTCCCTAGAGTCTCTTATTCTTTTTCACAGGAATAAGAGTGGCATAGGGTCATGGGGTGGATAGCTCTTTCAGCTTTAGGTAGGTGTATATATCGCGGCTAATGTTTTGCCTTGTCTTATTAGTACTATTGGGTTAAAAGAGTGTATTAGTTCTCTAATGCTGCTACAACAGAAATACTACCTGGCTTTAAACAGATGGAATTTTATTCTCCTACAACTTGAGAGGTTAGAAGTCCACATTCAGGAGAAGACTTTCTGGAAGTTCTGGGGAAGATTCCTGCCTTCTTTCAACATTTATAGGCCTGATGTTTCCTGGAAATTGATGTTTGTTGTGTCTAAGCATCAGTCTTCCCCTGGACCTAGAAGGTTCTCTGTGTAGGGACCTTGAGTTTATAGGACACATTTTACCCCATTTCACTGAGAATTTTGGCCAAGCCACGTGGACACATATTGTGGGGAACACAACCATTTTTTACAAATGGATTTATCAAATATTCCTAAGTTACTATTGGCATAAATGAATCTCATTGGGAAGCAATGTGGAATCCTTTCAGATATTTCCAGAGGTTCTGGATTTTCCCACAATTGTAAGATGAACTTCTGGGTGAAAGCAAGCATTCTTGTATTTACTTTACTTGAGACAAATATGAAAGATTAACTAGAAAAAACTGAAAGGCAGCATAAGCTGAGAGAGATTTTGTTGGATATATGATTGAAAACACTAAGGAATGTGAATCCTCATTTTAAAAATGAGAGTAAGTAATGACAACCTCCTCACAGAAGTCTGATGAAGGAGACATTAGACAAATTCATTTTACATGGGCATCAGATAAATATGAAGGCACAAAATAGTTAAACCTACTTTCTAGCTTTGTGATGGTGAAATTAGTTAGTGAGGTGTTTAGATTTGGGCTACACAGAGAAACAGGGAAAGATGATCGAATCACAATGTATTTTTGTGGTTAACTTTTCTGAAAATGGACAAGGATGAGCAGGCAATTTACTGATGAACAGCCACCTCTGAAAATGAGCTTAACAAGTGTTTATTAAATATCTTCTACATGCTGAACATTATACCACGAGGGGAACAAATGTAATTAAGGTATTGTGGTGTGAGCCTAGAAGCTGGCTTTTCCAGCCATTACATTGGCCCTCTGGTCTCCAGCTACCTTAACTGTAAACACATGGTCTTGCAATTGACAACAGCTGTGGAACTAGGATGAGCAAGGAGAGAGAGAGAGGGAGAGAAGGAGAGAGGAGAAAAGGAGGGAGGGGGAGAGAGCTCGGGAGAGTGTGAGTGAGCGTGCAATCGAGAGTGCACTTCCTACGGGGGAGCTAGACTTGAGGTAGGCAAGACTTGAGGGAAACTGGAGCAAGACCTTGGTGTGAGCAAGGCTCTGGTGATGGTGGTAGAGAGACTGTGGAAAGGTGTAAGCAGACGAGCCTTGGGATAAAGGTCACAGTTAAGTTTTACTGTTATGGCCAGATGATGGAAGAAAAAGCTGACTTCTGAAACCGGAGCCTGGACTATTTGAGGGATTGTGCCTTGGACCTTTTGGGTTAACCTGGACTTGCAATGCGTGATATTCTTTGCCTCTCCTGCTAACTTGTTTTCCAGATAAATCCCACTCTTGGTTCTATAACAGTGAATATTGAACCTGAATGATTGGTAAAAAGAGGTACAGGAGCATGGATTGCAGAGCTGGGTGGTGGTGGTGGTGGGGCCATGTCTGATGTAGCAGATACCTGTTTGTTGCTATGGATATTATTGTTGGGAATAATTCTCCTTTATGAAGTGTGTAGAAGTCAGACTCAGCATCTGCCTTCACCATATCCCACCTGCTCCTGCTGTAGGTCTTTGGAGAGTGTGCAATATGTACATCACTGCCTTAATATGTTGCCATGCATTATCCAGTTAGTTTCAACTCTTATCTGTTCAAGGTGACAAAATAGAACTGTCTCATGGTATTTCCTAGGTGTAATCTTCATAGGAATAGATTTCCAAATATTTTTCCACCATGGATTAGCTGGTAGGCTAGAATCTTGGATTTTTTTATTAGTAGCTTACTATATAATTATTGTGCTACAGGAGCTCCATTATCATAATACATAACTTTATTTATATTCAACATCTAAATCCTAAAGGACAATGACGTGAGTTGGAAACGACCCATAGCTGACCCTCCAGTGGGTTTTCAGAGGTAGTAAATCCCATGGGAGGAGATTGCCCATCCTTCTCCTGAGGAGCAGCTGGTGGATTAGAACCTTGTTCCTAGCAATTGTGATGCAGCTTCTTACCAACAGGCCACCAGAGCTCCCTAGTTTATACATTTATCTATATTAAATATCTAAATTCTAAAAGACAAGGATGAGAGTTAATGACTAAGATACACTTTACCCAAGCCCTAATCTTTAAAGTAACTTTCAATGCATCTGGAAAGTGGACAATGAATAAGAAAGACCAAAGGAGAATTGATCAATGCCTTTGAATTGTGGTGTTGGTGAAGTCTAGACTATACCATGGACTGCTAAAAGAACAAAGGACTCTGTCTTGAAGGGAATACAATTGTAGTGCTCTTAGCGACAAGGATGGTGAAATTTTGTTTCATTTACTTTGGGTACATTTTCACAAAAAATCAACTCTTGTAGTGAGTTATGCTAAGAAAGGTAGGTCAGTCAAGGGAAGGAAGAGCCTCAATGAGATGGATTGACACAGTGATTTCCACAACAGGCTTGAGCACGGCAAAGAGCATGAGGATAGAGCAAAGTTCGGATCTGTTGTTCACAGGGTTGCTATGTATTACAGTCAACTCAACAGCATCAACAATAACAACAGCATATTAAATATGAAAAAATATATATAATAACATGTAATTGCTGGATAGGGAGCTCTGGCCGCATGTCGGTAAGGAGTTTCACTGCTAACCCAAAGGCCTGGTCTCTCTGGTGGTTTAAATCCACCAGCAACTCCTTGGGAGAAAGATGTGCAATCTTCTCCCACACGATTTACAGCTTCTGAAAACTTATTGGACGGTTAGTTATGAGTCAGCTCTGACTCAAAGTGCATTGACTTTGACTGGTAGGGTATTGTTCAGTGAGGATGGGTTATTGTCTTGGATCAGGTTCTAGACAATACTGATGTTAACTCCTTTGGTGCCAGGTTTATGAGGAGGTCTTGAGTCATTTGTGGCTCAAATAAAAGAAAACCAATCACCATAAATTCTTGCGTGGATGCCAAATTCCAACTAGTACAGTGAAGCTCCTAGAGACGGATCTACACACAGGACTGAGTATTATATTAGCCCTGGTTGTGGCTACCTACAATCCCTACTTCCAAAAGCTGACACTTGGTAGATGTTGAACAAATGACTTCTGAGTCTGCATCTTTGTGTGGCCATTCTTGTCTCTTTGTTTCTCTGATTATACTGCTTCTTTCTTGATAACAGGGAGTGCTGGCCAGAGGGTAGGGCAGAGTCTGCAGAGCTGCTTTCTGCCAGCTTTCACTTTCAGATGGTGTAAGGACAGGAAGGACAACTGGCTGGGAACGCACACTGAGGGGTCTGGGGCTGTAGTCTCTGCAGGTGTCTTAGTAACTTGTAATGACTCTGCTTCTGTGCTAGGAACCACCTGGTTCTCAGAGAGGGGAACCTTGGGCCTATAATGTCTGACCCAGGAGCAAGGACTAAGGCTCCCAGAGAAGCAAACTGCAGATCCACACTCTGAAGGCACATTTGGAGTCTGCTGGGATCTCAGTGGCCTCCAACCTTCCTGACCTGCTGAGTTCAGAGACCCTCTAGGAAGGCACGGAACAAGGAGACACAGGTGAGTTGGCTGAGTGGACGCTTGTGGGTCATGGGAGGAACCAGCGGGCTACGCAGAAGGGGCTGAGAATGTGTATGGAGTCTGGGCCACAAAGTCTGTCTCTAGGAAGGCTGAGGAAAACCCAGGAAGGGCTTGAACCTTATTTATTTTGCAGATGTTTATGTAACACTTATAGGACTAGGCTCTATTCTCTTTACCTGTAGTATGAATTCATGGGATCCTCACTACAACCTCAACTATAGTATGCAGGAGGTATTATTACTATGCCCATTTTACAGATGAGGAAGCCAAGACCCAGAAGGTGAAGTAACTGGTCAGAAGTGATCACATCATGAGCGCATGAGTCCAGTGGAGAGCTTCACAGAGTCTGTGCTTCCCCGACCATACCCTGTCTCCCTATGCGCCATGAGTAGCACATAGTTTTGTATCTTTTTTCCTGACCAGGGCTCATTTTGTCTTTTCTCTTGCTCTGTCATCAGCCAGGCTCTTTTAAGCAAGGACAGAGTGGATGAGGACGAATTTTGGTGGATAACAGACTAGGCGACAACTGGAAGGAGGTATGGCAGAAGTGAAATTGAAATGTAGGTGAACTCAACAGAGCAGGGTGTCTGTGCTGAGAACCACCATCTTTCTAAGGTTGTTGCTTGTCTCTGAAGCTTCTCAAATGACTTCCTAATGTCAGTTGGATAGGACAGAGCAAAGAGCAGCAAAACCTGGCAAGTCCACAGTGGCCAGGGTCCTGCATCACAGTCCTCTGGCCCAGGGTGAGGGACAGGCTGTACAGATCCTGGGGGGTTGATGGGAAATCTCTCCTAGGAGCAGGTGCTAAGGAAACAAGGCCTGGAGTCTGGTCAGCGGGGTTGTGGTATGCATGTTTGGGGTGGGAACGGAAGAAGTAGTTCCTTCCCAGGTCAACTGAACAGTTGCCTAACACCACAGAGGCTTCCCAGAACACCTGGCCCGAACCTCGAGCCTCGTTCAGCCTCTTCTTGGTATCAGGGTTGTGTAGAGTCTACTACTCTGTAAGCATGAAGTGCAAGCAGGCTGTTGGCTGAGCAGTGGGGGGGGGGGGGGATTGCTCTGTTTCCTGGTTTCCCCTCACTCTAGTTCTGTCTCACAGCTCAGAGGAAATGGAGGGCGGCTCCAGTTGTTCTTTGCTCTGCCATCTCACCGTCCTGCTGCTCCTCCTCCAGCTGCCCACACGGGGATCAGCAGGTGAGTGCTCCACTCGGCTCCCCTTGTTTCTCCCTCTGGTGTGTGTGGAAACAGACAAGCTGCTGGTTGTATGGCCAGCACTCATTTTACTGTTTCTCCTGCTCTGTCTTCAGTCAAGGTCTTTTACCCCATCAGGGTACTCTCTTGGGGTATGTGTGTGTGTGCGTGTGTGTGTGTGTGTGCATGTGTGTGCGTGTGTGTGTCTTAAAATGGAGAGATTATGATGTCTCCACTACTAACTATAATGAAAAAGTATTTTTTAAAAAATTGTTATTGTTGTTGTTATGTGCCGTCGAGTCGTTTCCTACTCATAGCGACCCTATGCACAACAGCCCTAAACCCTGCTCTATCCTGCGCCAACTGCACCGCCTCTGACACACCCATCCCGATTACCCCAGACACTGAATCAATCCATCTCATAGAGGGTCTTCCCCTCCTGCGCTGTCCCTCCACCCTCCCAAGCATGATGTCCCCCTCCAAGGACCCGTCCCTCCTGGCAACATGTCCAAAGTATGTCAGACGAAGCCCCAGAATCTTTGCCTCCAAGGAGTAGCTTGGTTTAATCCTCTCAAAGATGAATCTGTTTAGTAAACCATAAATTATGGGTAAAGAGTTCTGACAACTGCCCCACAATGGATTTTTAATGTTTCCTCCCATGACGGTTCAGTTAAGTTCGATCCATAGTGACCTTTCATTGAGATTGTAAATCTTTACAACTGGAGACTGCCTAACTCTCTCTCCCAGAGTGACTGGTGGATACCAGCCTCTGACTTTTTTTGGTCGGCAGCCCAATATGCAAAACATTATGTCTTTAATATTTGATGCTGGTTTTGTATGCCATTGAGGCAGAAACAACTTATAGCTGACCCTCTGGTGGGTTTTCAGAGGCAGGAAATTGTATGGGAGGAGATTGCCCATCCTTCTCCTGTGGAACAGCTGAAGGATTTGAATTGTGCATCTTTGGGATCACAGTGCAGCTTCTTATAACTAGGCCAGCAGAACTCCTTTAATATTTAGAAGGTTCAAATATATTTTCCCTTTCCTTTTTTATTTTTTTAAATTTTCTTGTTTAACTATTGTCTTAAGCAAGCATGCCATGCATATTGATTCACTTCATTCCCTAAGTGTTCATGGGGGTCTATTATGTGTTAGATGCTGTTCTGTGATCTTCATCTTCATACAGCTCACATTCTAGTAGGAGACTGTGAATAATTAAGGCAGTTAACCAAGGAAAACCATATTCTGTAGAGGACATTAGCACCACGGGACAATGAATTACAGCAGATGTGAACATTTTCGGGGAGGATGATAAGGGAGGTCAAGTGTGAATAGACAGCAGTGGTCAATAAGGTGGTCAAGAATAGGAGGTATAGAATAAAACTTGAGAAGAGAGGAATGAACAGAAGTATCTTTGGGAAAATTGTTCTTTCTTATAAGAGGGGCAAGGCAGTGGACAGCTAGCAGTGTTCCTGGCTGTTCAAAAAACTTCAAGAGGTGAGAATTGCTTAGAGTGAGGGAGAAGGAAGTTGAGGTCAGAGTGGCCCTGGGAGCCAACCCTATAGGGTTTGTGGGTCATTGGAGGGAACTGGGTAGCTATTATAGGAGTTTGAGCAGAAGTGGGGCCCTGACATAGTTTGAATTGCACATTGAAGGGATTTAGAAAATAGACAGTGGGGGTGGAGTGAGGAAAGACAATGAGACTAGTGGAAGCTGCATCCTCTGGGTGGAAGATGATGGTGGCTTGGCAAGGGCAAATCTGCAGAGAAGGTGGTATTTTGGAATCCAGAAAGACTTGCTCTGCAGAAGGGTCACAGTGAGACTGAGGGTGATGAGTGGAGTGTGTCTTTAACAAACAGTGATTGAGGCTTCCAGTAGCTATGGAAATGAAGGCAGATTTTAAACAGAGACAGCACTTGATTCTTGGTTAAACATACATATAATGTACATATAAATCAGTATAAGAGTACACACACACACACAATATGAAAATTAGGTGTGAGATTAGAATTTCCTAGGAGTGGTTGAAAATTCATAATTTAGACCTAGATCTCTTATGACCTCTGGCCAGTCCTGGGAAGGGTCTAGGCTAGGGTGGGGTTCTTAAAGTTTGCTCCTGGACCAGCATATTTCCATGCTGGAACTTCTGGTCATTGTTGTTAACTGTCATAGGTTGGCCCTGACTTGTGGTGAATCTAATAAACAATGAAGCAAAAGGTACTTGTTCTTTAGACCAAGTTAGAATTCTGCCATTGACTCATCAATTCCTTGCCCACTACAGTCAGGCATACAAAGGGCTGTACAGTGCATTGACTAATAACCCACTAGAAACACACATTTTGAACTTCCACTGGACGTACTAACTCAGAAGCTTTGAGGATGGGTTTCAGAGATCTGTTTTATAATCCCTTGGGTGACTCTGACACATACTCAATCTTAAAAATGATGGAGTTAAAAGACACTTTCATAGAAAAACTTGGAATCAGGAGACTCAGCACATGAGAGAGGCCCTTTGACATAATTTCTGGGCCATAATGATGCAGTCAAAACATCCTAATTCATTCAGTCTTCCCAGTTTATTCCTTTGGGGGCTGAGGATCATCTCCAGTTTTCTCACTTTTCATTTCTGTGTTCACAGATGAATTTATAGTGATTGGCCCCAAGGACCCCATAATAGCCGTGCTGGGTGGAGAAACCATACTGCCCTGCACCCTGTCCCCTGCCATGAATGTGGAGACCATGGAGCTGCGGTGGTTCCGTTCCAAGTTCTCCGAAGCTGTGTACATCTATCAGAACCGCCAAGAGCAGAGGGCAGAACAGATGCCACAGTACAGAGGGCGGACCTCCCTGGTGAGAGACCTCCTCAATCAGGGGGAGGCTGCTGTGCGGATCGACAAAGTCCAGGTTTCTGACAATGGGATGTACACCTGCTTCTTCAGAAAAGGAGGTTTCTACGAAGAGGCGACACTGGAGGTGAAAGTGGCAGGTTGGTGGCTTGTCTACATTCTAGAATACTGGAGGGTTGGAGTTGGGAGCAACCAGAGGACAATTTAATATAGTCCTTCATTTTCCAGGTTCAGAAAAAATAATAATTTAATACAAATAACACATATATACAAATAATATATACAATTTATTATATATTACATATAATTTACAACATAAATTATATATGTAATTGATATATAATAATAATAGTAGATTATTTAAAAATAAATAAATAAGAGCCAGGCCCTATCCAGGCATCTAGTTCACATAGTGAACTCAATAGAGATTCCTGTCCTGTAGATTTGATATTGTAAATGTGGAAATAGAAAAATCACAATGAGAACCAGACATTTGATGATGAGTAAGTTCTGAGGATCAACAACAAAGTAGAACAGGGAGAAGGGTCAGGATGTGGGAGTGGTGACCAGTAACAACACTAGAATTGATGTCACCAGTGTGATTAACTTATGGTGTTTGTGTCTCTATTTCATGAACCTCCTCTCATACCAGAAAATTTTACAATATTAGAGACAATAAAAATACAAGCAAGAGCAAAACCACTAGTGTGTACAAGCAAACTGTGATTCTGTAATAATGGCGGCTCTGACTAGACCACATTAGAAGATTCTAAAAAGAAATCTGTACAGGGTTGTTCAGCCTCGTAGATATACTTATCCTAGCTGAGATTACAAAAACATTGTTGTTGTTATGACTAACTGAACAGATATCTTTTTACCAAATAATAAATCTCTGCTGAAACAATCCATGAAATTTTAGAAACAGTCATATTGGCGTCATTTCCTGTAACAGTGTCACCTAGTGTGGTCTTCAGCACACAGCAAGCACCCTAGGATGGGAGTGTGGCTGCTGTGTTCTGGACACACAGAGAAGCTGCATGATTGATAGGAGTGAATGAGGAACAGGGCAGTAAGAGATCTCAATCCTGGATAAAAAGATGTTCCTGCTGTAGGATGCAACAGGAAGCAGAGAGAAGTTCCCGGCTTTCTCAGCATTTGTGTTCATTAGGCAAGATTCTGAAGAGTGCTCAAGGTTGAGGGACTAAACTTGAAAAGGCATGGGCCACACTGATGATTGTGTGGTTGTTAACCATTAACCAAATAGCCTTTGGGGTTAGGGAATGTGGACCTTGAGAGGCACGGGTGGGAGGAGTTAGAAAAGGATTTAATAAAAGGGTTTGGAGATGAAGACAAAGGATATATTAGAGAAGGGTTTGTGTGCTGTATTACAGAATTTGGAAGAAAGCTGAGGAAATTTTAGGCAGAGTGATGTTGAGAATGCTCACTCTGGCAGCCATGAGAATGGTGGGAGGAAGAACTGCTGGAGGTATGGAGATAGTTAAGAGCAGAGGATGACTGCCTGAACCCTAGAAGTGAAAGTGGAGTAGGAGATCTGGAGTCAGATACTAGAAAGATTAAGAAAGTAGCCTCACTAAGTGAGCTGATTTGGAGAGAGACACGTGGGCCACATAGTCTCTCAGGGTTTTGGTTGTTTGCTGTTTAGTAGTGTTGTGTACCACGGAGTTGGAAACGATCCATAGCTGACCCTCTGGCAGGTTTTCTGAGGCAGTTAATCATAAGGGAGGAGACTGCCCATCCTTCTCCCATGGAGCATCTTGTGGCTTCGAACTGCATGCCTTTGGTTTTGCAGCAAAGCTTCTTGCTTTGGAGCAATCAAGTCACAAAATCTCAATAATATTGAACAAATATTCATTTAACTTGAACACTTACAGAGTTCACCTAACCTGGGCTAGGCTTGGCTAAGCTCAGCTGGGCTTGTTCTTTTTTTTTTTTTTTCTAAGTTGAAGAACTCACCATGGCATGATCTTGGATGAGTTTTCACATGGATGGTAGTCAGCTGGCTGATCTAGGATGATTTCAGCTGCAAAGGCTTAGGTGACAAGGCAATGTTCCACAAGTCTTAGGCTAGTCTATAAGCATGTCTCTTCTATGGAAAAAGTAGAGGACTCAATGACATGACTCAAGCACTTTTCCAACTTGAGGAAGACCCTGGATGAGATGGATTAATACAGTGACTGGGGCAATGGGGATTGGTGTGTCAGAATCAGTGAGACTGGCTCAGGAGAGGGAAGGGTTCAGAGCTGCTGTACATAGGGTTGCTATGGGTCACAGGCGACTTGATGGCACATAACAACCACCACCACCACGACCACCACCACCACTACAACAACAACAACAACAACAACAACAACAAATTCTGTACATCACTCTATCTGCATGGCTGAAAAGTTTAATCCCCCAGCCTCCCTCAGATTTCCCTTAAGATGTTCATATGTTCTTTTCTTGGTTCACTGTGGTGGCAATGCAAGAAGAATGGCTTCTTAGGCGTCACACTGCCAGGATCCTGCGCCTGCACCTGTGACAAGGTGGCTACCCTGAGCTCCACAGCTTTCCTCCCACAGGTGTGGGCTCTGTCCCGGAAGTAAGCATTGAAGGGCCAGAGGAAGATGGTGTTCGTGTGGTGTGCACAACCTCTGGATGGTTTCCGAAGCCACAGCTTCAGTGGAAAGATGTTAGCGGAGAGAAGTTCCTGGCTTTCACAGAGGCTCATTCCCAAGACTCAGAGGGCCTGTTTCACATGGAGGCCTCACTGGTGGTGAGAGACAGATCTGCAGGGAATGTGACCTGCTCCATCCTCAACCCCATTCTGGGCCAGGAGAAGGGGAAGGCCATTTTCATCCCAGGTAAGCATTCCTGCTCTCAATAATGCCAGACTGACGGGGTGGGGTCTTTAAATGTGCTGGCCTGGAATGTGTCCTGATGGAATCTACGGGGCATAGAGCCCTTTTTCCCACAGACCTCTCCCTGGAAGCCAACTTTTATTGTAATCATCATCATAATGGGGCTCCTCATCTTCCTGGCTGCCTATTTTATTAAGAGAGAACATTCGGAAAAGTTGCAGGCAAAGAAAGAACAGGAGAGCCTTCAGCGGACTAAGGAGAAGGACAGACATATAAAGGAGGATGCACTGAAGGACAGAGGTAAGGCCGGAGAAGGGGCATGCTAGATGAGGACAGAGCTTGTGCCAAGAGGGAAAAGCTGATAGCGGGACAAGATCCGGCTGCAGTGGCCTCTAGAAGACCCAGGACCTCTGCCCAGAGCAGAAGGCTCTTGGAGATAAGAAGATAGTTAGGACTGAGAGTGATTGGAGAAGTCTAGATGGAGAACTTTCTTTAATGTATGAAGGGAGTCTGTGTCCTTTTCGAGGCACACAACCTTTCCTTTTCTTAGGGAAGAAAGCTTAAGCATTTTTTTCTTTCTTTTTAAAAAATCTCTTGCAGATGCACTACAGGCAGAGCTTGGTAAGTTTTTATCTCCCTTCTGATCACTCAGGGTCCTGCTGCGGAAGCTGATCTGGTTTGTATCTCATTTCATTCCCATGTGTTGCTTTTCAGACCAGAGGAAGAAGATTTATAAGGCTGGTGAGTGACTTTCCAGATGTCCCTGGGTCTCCCATCCTACATCTGCTTGGGGGACCTGTTTCTCTGAGTCTTTCTCAATAGACGTTAGGACTCCATTCTCTGAGGGGAAAAAAAGGAAAGTGGGCTCAGCTTCCTGCCTAGTGTTCAGGTATGGTGTTCTCTGGAATCTATCAAGCATCCTGAATCTTGTCATCCCAGCTCTGGTCTGTTTACCGTATCATATATTTTCTAGTCTTTAGTGTACTCAATTTTCTGCAGTTGGAATTTAAAAGATAGTTAGATGCTTAGGAATTTTCTTTAAGAGACCACATAAATCAATGTGGTCATCAAGTCTAGATGTATGACTTATTTCTTCCATGAATCCTCCTCTCTGGGAGTGTCATTCCTCTCCAGTTCCTGAAGGTGCTTATTTAGTCAAGGGGAGAGAACTGGAATGAGTAAGCAGAGGAATGTGATAACATGAGCTCAGAGCTCCCCTGGTTAGAGATGTTACCACCTCTAGAAAGATTTCTTCCCCAAAACGTTTAGCTTTATCTCTTTTTATTCCATATTTCTGGTAATATTCCACCTATATATTTGCCAGAGAGAGACAAGATATAACAATAATTTCTTCCAGTTATGGAATAATTTTGTATTTTCTTTCCTTGAAAAATCTTCACATGTGTATTTTGATTCTTAATGAAATGCACAAGGATAGGAGTTTTTTATATTCTTGAAGGCATAGAATAGTTAAGCAACTTGTCCAAAGTCATATCAGAGCCACTGGACAGTGTGGAACCCTGATTTTAACTGGTAGTCATGGGGATTTCTCATATTCCCTGGTGAGCTTTGCATACAGTGA